TACAGCATACAATAAAAATCTTAAAATCGTGGTATGGCTTTGTATGAACTTGGGATCTGTGTCTATCTGTTAACATGGAGAGACTTGGCAGGATAGTTCAGGCATTGTATAAATCTTGCCTGTGATTGGTGGATTCCAACATGGAGACAGTTTGATTTAAGCCTTTCCATTTAATTCAATTCAATTCAGTTTATTTATATAGCGCCAAATTCACAACACATGTCATCTCAAGGCACTTTACTGTTCAACCAGATCATACAGTCAAATTGATACAAAGTTTTCTATCTAAGGAAAACCAATTGATTGCATTGACTCAAATACAATCCCTCACTCTAAGCATGCTTGTAGCGACAGTGGAGAGGAAAAACTCCCTTTTAACAGGAAGAAACCTCCAGCAGAACCAGGCTCAGTGTGAGCGGCCATCTGCTGAGGCCGACTGGGGTTCAAGGAGACAGAAGCAGAGATACAAAAAGCAGCTGTAAAAGGCGGCCCCGTCCAGGAAACACACAGCCAGGCAGACGAGCTCCGAGCCAGCTCCCATGCCAGAGGACGAAGAGAGCACATCCAGTTAGTCACAGTCAGAGAGACAGGACCACACTGGAAAACAGGCCGATCTCCAACATCTATAAACAAGGGTGTTGATGGAAGCAGCACAGCTGATGTTTTTAATGTCTGCCTGTGTGTCTAGAGTCCTGTTCCTGCTGGAACCTGCAGCAACACTCCAGTTTTTTTGCCCAAATTCCCTCCCTCTGCCAAAGAATAGCATCCCCACAGCATGATACTGACACTATCATGTTTAACTGTGTGGATGTCATGTGCCGCGTTCGTTTACCTCCAATAAAATAGACTAAAAAGTTGAATTCTGACCGTATCCAACATGTCGATCTTTAAGCAGAGGCCTCCCTCCTGAGTTACCGTCGGGCCTCTTAGCTGTTTGCTTGATTAATGCTCTCCTAGACCTACCTGTCAGTTCAGCCTGCTGGCCGTGCCTCGTGCAGTCCTGCCGTATTCCTTGCATTTTCAGATGATCGATTTAACAGTGCTAGGTGAAACGTTTAAAGCTTAGGATATTACTTTCTAATCTAACCTGGCTTTAAACTTCTCTACACCTTTTTTCCTGACCCATTTGCAGTGTTTCTTCGTCTTCACACTGCTATTTGTTCAGTAGTGTTCTCTAATGAAGCTGGGTCTTTACAGAACAGCTGGATTTCTATGAAGATTAGATCCTACTAAATGAACTCCACTTCCTGTTATCTGTTCTCTGTTGCTCTGGGTTTTCGCTCAGGGATGTAAAAGCAATGGATTGCTGAATGTAATCGATATATACTCTTTAATAATATTAAGAACCTTATTTCACTCCACTTAACAGTGTGAATTTAAAGCATTAAAACAATAATAAAGTAAAATCAAGTTTACATTTTAACATGAGGAAAGGTAAAACGGTTCTAGGGGTATGAAAACTTTTGCAATGTTTTGCATTTAGTTGAAAACCAGTGCAAAATACTAATATGGTAATGCAAAATTCAACAGATAAAAGCACCAAAAATGCATAATAATTATCTAAATGAAATTTTTAATTCCTCAGGACATCTTCAGCCGTATTATTGAGCTTAAACTGGTTGAGATAAATCGGAAGTTGGCAGCTGAAAAGGCTCATTTTCATCCGTTTGCTAATGCTCTGTTGGAAGAACAATAAACAAAAATAGTTTTCAAAAGGCAAACAATAGAACTCCGAGTTCTATGTGATATGCAACCCTTTTGTACGCCAGAAGACTTTGTGCCGTGCAGTTGTCTACATCAGGCTGTTACGGGGGGGGTTTGTATTGTTTTGGGTGGATGCTGCTTTGTGGGACGTTTCAGAGGGGGGAGGGCATCTCACCGCCTTGACTTGATGTTTGTAGCATTTGGAATAATCTTTGACACACACATACACACCCGCATGGCCATGTTCTGCAGAAACCCTAACAAAGCCAGCCACACTCTTAAGAAGACAGGTACAAGCAGGGGCACAAACACAACAGAGCTCTCTGGGTTCAGGCCCAAACTCACAACAACACAGTCAGAAGTAGCGAGGCTACACCTGGCTACGGTAAGCATCCTTTCCGAGGATTAATTCAGCACTTCAAAAGAGCAGGAAACAAAAACACTCCAAGTGGAGGAGGAGGAGGAGGGCTTGGCTCAGCAGCAGAGACTGTCAGTTACAGATGTTGGAGCAGAGGACGGAAGATGGGTGGGGTTTTCAGGTGTGCTCACAGGAAGGTTTGTAAAAAAAAAAGAACATATTTCTCCTTTTTTTTTTTTTTATTCCAAATTTGCTGTTTGCAAAACCATGTTTTAAGAGTCTGGATATCTATGGTTTATGGTTAGATTTAGGCAACTTTTATTGTCATTTTGTATATGTTTTCTACAGCTTTCAGATATTGAATGTGCAGCAGGTTAGCAGTAAAGTGAACATTTCCATTTCATAAAGTGCAGCGATTATCAAATGCAAACTATAGGAGAAAAAAAACAACATGGTGCAAAAATGCATTGAAATGGAAGTTGAGAGCATTTCAAGACAAATGTATATGGTGCAAATACGCAGTATTTTGGTTTGTTATCAGTGTGATGCAGAGTCTGTGACTTGATTTAGAGTTTTTTTCAACAGTTCAGCTGTCTGATGGCAGTTGGGAAGAAGCTGTTGCAGAATCTGCTGATGGTTGAAGAATTAATCAATCATAGTGCACACCTTTACCGGCTTACTGCAAACCTGCAGCCTGTTTAGCTTCAGCTGGACAAATGTCCAGATAGACAAATGTCCCTTTACTGTAGAATGCTTTAATGTACAGATAAACCCACTGCTAATGGTCTGTTTGGCATCGTTGACCTTATTGGGACTCATGAGCCATTTAGAAATATTTGGCATCGTTGTAGAGTAGTTTTTTTAAATGTATATAATTGAAAACATTCAAAAAATACTGATCGGCAACACATCTTCACATATGTATATCAGTAAAGATGTGTTTTAATATGCACAGCAAAAATGATCTCAAAATGAGTAAAAATTTCTTAAATTAAGGGTATTTGCCCTTAATTTGAGCAGGTAAATAAGATGATTTGCCAATGGAATTAGTATTTTTACTCTTAAAATAAGGTATCTAGATAATATAAGACAATAAATAAGAAAATGCAATGGTTTTTTCTTATTTTAAGTGTAAATTGTCTTGTTCCATTGGCAAGGGTCTCACTTAAATCCTTAATTCAAGAAAAAATGCACTTATTTTAAGAAAAAATGACTTATTTAGATAAAAAAATGTTTGCAGTGTGGATGATGTGTAAACACAGATCCATGGCTGCTTTTATGGAGATGTTCGTACCTCTCTGCAGTTTGTGATTCTCAATGAACCCAATGAACGGGTGGTTATCAGTAAATCGCTTACATTCGTTTAGAAGCATCAAACAGCTGGATACTGCTGTGAGGGGTATAAATGCAGCTGCTGTTATGCTATACTGTACGACCACACTGTATTTAAAAAGCATCCATACCGTTTTTTTTTTTATAGATTCCATCCACAATCTTATTTCATTTGATTTTCATATAATAGTAAAACACAAAGGTGAGCCTAGTTTTACTACATATGGATTTTTACAATGATTTAAATTCAATTTCACCACCTTGTTTCAGTCACTTCCCTCTAAGACTATACTTTGTTATAACTGAAGCTATAATTTTTGTTTAAAGGTCTGTTTCTACAAGGTTTTCACATCTAGGGGCTAATATTTATGTTTACGGTTGCTGCCTTGATTGAAGGTAAAACCAGCCTGAAGTCTTTTTTTTTTTACCATCTAACAGGTATTCAGTATTCAGAGTCATTCATCTTCCCATAAACTCTGACTTCATCTCAAGCAATGATTCTGTCCCCACCGTGTTATGAAGGAGACAGCGTTTTATGGTAATACGCAAGGTTTTACTGATTAGCAGAGCTCTGGTTTGGTGTAATTCAACCAGAACGCATTCTTCTAAAATGTTTTCTGTTCCCTACATGGCTTAAATAACAACAACCAGGATTTCTGATTCCTTTGATCTAACAAAGTTTTTTTTCCTTCCTGCTTTTTACAAAGACCAATTTGTAGAGCTTGACCAATGGTTGAATTTTTTGACAGATTCCCTCCCCTGAGCTGTACATCTCTGCAGCACCTCCAGAGCTCCAGTATGATGAGTTTATGTCTTTGATTAATGCCCACCTTGTAGTGTATTTTAACAGGGTAACATTTAGGCCAAATTGCTTCTATCTACAGTTGATGGATCATATCGTCTTAGAACCTTATTCAGCTAAACTTCACTGTAAATTTACCACTAACCTGCCTGAAGAGTCTAGTTTATTTTGATGCTACCTGTTCACTTATGTTTAACATCAACCCTAAACAGAACAGTTAGATTTATGATGAGATGAAATTACACTCAGGCAAACTCTATATAGTAGTTAGTTGTCCTCTAAAGACACTTGAAGGAACTTTTACTTTAGTGTGTCAGAGTAAAGGGGGCTGAAGAGAAATACAGGCCACACTTTTCAGTGTTATTCAAAAAAAAAAAAAAAAATTTTTAATCTTTTTTTTTCCATTTCAGTTCTTCTTTGAATTAGTCTGTTACGTAAAAAAAAAAAAATCCCATAAGTACTATGAAGTTTTTGTTTTTTTGTCACAAAATATAAAAAAAAAAAAAGTAAAAATGTTTTATCTCTGCTTCCTGTATTTGGCTTAGGTTTTACCACATAATGTTTTAGAGGAATGTCTCACATACACTAGTTCATCTTAACACCCTGTCATCAGCAGATGACATTTTAGTTACATCCAACACAAGGAGGTGCATTTATTTTCTTTCTTTTTTTTTTTGCCAAGATTTTATTTTTTCTGATAGAAAAAGGTAAATTAGATTGTGTCCTTGTTGAAGTATACATTTTTAAATCTTAAGATATATGAAAAAATATATTTTAACCCGAAGCTTGATTGTGTTCCCTCAGGTGGAGTTTGAATGGCTGCGACAGTATTGGTTTCAGGGCCAGCGTTACGCCCGCTTCTGCAGCTGGTGGTCCCGACCGATGGAGCAGCTGGAGAAGGATTGGAAGCTCATGGAGACCATGGTAGGGCGGCTTTAAGACATGCTGCTCATCGTAGCACAGCTTTTAAAAAAAAATTATATATCGGAAAAAGCTGTATTTCCTTGCAGTTTATTAGATATCAAAACATATACAACCAAAATTAAGACAATATTGCTAAATGATTGGAAAATATTCAGTTGATAAAGTTCAATTGATTGATAATATCTGATAATGAAGGATGTATTTGTACGATCTATTCCTGATTATTTTATAAATTATAACAGGTATTTAAAAAAAATATTTTATTTTTTATTCTTTTAAAAATTGAATCAATGTTTATTTGAACAGCCTACATTCAAGTGTGTGCAAAATGATTAATTTCTCGGGCAGATTTAAGCGGAAAATTCAAGGTTTCCTTTCATAAGAAAAAAAGCATTCTCAAAAGGATATTAAAAAAAGTGAAAATGAATCTTTTTTTAAAATCATTTATTTTTCTTAATTCTAATTGTATTGAAATAAAACCATATAAAACAATTAAAATCCATTCTTAATAACAAATCAACATTTGACTTTTTTTTAGCTGATAAACTCCAACTGTAAATGTCATCAGAAAGTCCTTAGAGGAGAAGACACGATTTTTAAATTCTTACCCAATAACCTGAAATTAGATGCAATGGGTTTACCTGTAGCATCACAGACATTTTGCACATAAACAAGTATGCACACATCTAATACTAAGGAAAATATATAAAACCAATTTAAACCGATAGGATTTTAATGTCAGACTTACTGTTAAGTTAGCATACAGTCATTATGCCGTTAGTTAATCAGACTCACACATAGCCTTGGTTATGTGCAGCTCATAAACCAACAAGGCCTCCCATATGTCTTTATTTGAAAAGATTTCATTCACATACCTTCAGATGCACATTTTATTGTTATTTTCTATACCTATAAATCAGTTAATGCATTCCATACCCAGACATTAGGAGCAGCAGGGGGCACTCTTGCATCACTGTAGCAGCTGCTTCCTCAGCTAAGAGATCTTCTCTTTGCCTCCCTGCAGTCAGTCCTGCTGTCTCTGGGAGCTCTGGGTCTCTGTCAGTGCTGAGCGCTGAGCAGTAATCACATCTAATGCTGAGGCGGGGATAAAGACAGGGGCTGAAGGGGAGAGCGGTGCCTCTGCTGCTCAGCTCAGGCAGCGGCCCGTCTCTCTCAGGCATCCAGAGATCCTGACAGAGGCTGGGTGACGGGCTTTGAGTGCTCCATCTTTGGCTATAGATGAAGTGTGTGATTCTGACCTGTATTCAGTAAAAGGCCACTGCTAAAGTGGAAAGCTCATATGTCAGTGTTTTTTTTTTTCTTCTATATTTATTTAAACGTTATTTTTATATTATTCAGTGCAAACGCTCAAATGCAAATAAAATATTCACTTTTTTTTTATTGAAAAAACAATATACTTGACAATAAATATCTCTTATTTTTTCCTTTATTATTACCTAAAATAACAGTGTTATTGTAGATTAAAAAGAGTAACTTTTTTTTAGATTAAATAATTTTTAAACAGGTTTGTTTTTTTACGATGCGGAAAGATTCGAAAGGAAGCATCTCTTCTGGCGATAGAAATGAATATTAGACAAAAAAAAAAAGGGAAAAACGCTGACATGAGCACAAAGGTAACGATTCTCTATTGTGATGAAAGACAACATTATTGCTTTTGCTAGCAGTATTTACATACATGCATCGACCTCAGATCCGCTGATGAAACAGCACTTCATAAATATGGCTTATAGATTCCTCTTTGGGAGGTTTAGATAGCTGAGGCTTTTCTGCTGTTGGATTAAAACACATTTCCCTAAATTACTTTGGGTTATTTAAATAATGGCCGGCTCTCCTGCAGTCCCCTATATTGGCATATATTTTACATTTTGAAGCCAGCAATTGACAGCGCCGTCTAATTTGGTGAAATACGAGTGACCTAGTGTGAGCAGATGCTGTTTACCATTTATTTATTTACATATTTTGGCTGCTTGCAGAGTAGATTTTAATGCGCCGCAATTTTTATTTATTATTTTTCCTTTGGCCGGGGTATTTTAAAATAACAAATACGTGTCTATTTAAATAGGCTTTATAAAATGACGCTGCATTGTTTTATACACCGCGCCGTTGCAATAAAAGAGCCTATTGTTTCATCTTTGCTAAAATAGTAATGCAAACAGCCAGGCTTCCTTGCTTTATTGTCATATTTAGCTGCAGCGATGTGTTGGGCTGTGTACGCGTTTGTTAGTCTGTATGAAGAGTATTGCAATATGGAAAGACCCTTCTCCTGTATGTGGATAGTGTCTCTCCCTCGGGCTCCTCTCTGCTCCTCAGCCTGTTGTCATGCAAATGCTCATCCTCCTATTTGAATGACATCCTGATAAAATACATAAATACATTTATAAAGAAGCAAAACAAAACGAGTCCACTGTCTTTCTCGCCATTTTTTTCTTTTCTTCCCCTGAATAGTCTTTAAGTATATTTCACGTGAGAGCTTAGCTGAGCGATAATGTGTGTAAAGGTAAAGGTAGGTAAAGGTTGTTCTGGGCAGGTGGAAGAAGGGCAGCGACTGAAAGGTTTTTTGTGTTCCCCTGTGATCCAGGGCGCTGGATTCCGTTTCGAACCGTCTGGCTCCGAGCCTCGCTCTCCCTCAGGACTCTTGCTATCATTGCAGTCGTACAATAGTGACATTTCCTTAAACTAGCAACAATGAATGGCTCCTTTGTGAGTCACAATAGGCAGAAGATCTTGGCTTTATGCAGAATATTTTAAATACCGGTGTGGTATTTTTATTATTTTTTAATCTTTCCTTTTTTCGCTGTGGTGGAAGAAGTGACGGCGAGACCATGAGCACATTTCTCTCTTTTTTTTTTTTTTCCTGAGTTGTCCTTTTGTGTGTGTGTGTGTGTTTTTGCTCGAGCCATTGATGTTAATGTATGCACTCGGCATGACTTTAATTGATTTAGCAGCTCTGCTTGCGCAGTACAGCCTTTTCCCTAATTTGTCACTTTCCTGACTTCTGTGGCTGCTCATCTCACAACTTCAAAAGCCAGCGCTTGCAAAGAGATTTCAATACACCCCGTCTGCTTTTTCCTTCTTCTTCCTCTCCTCTCTCACTCTTTATTTCTGTTGTTTTCCTCTCTTTCTCTCCTTCCATCTCCCCATATCTTTGCCTCCCCCCCATCCATCCCCCTTTGATTTGACAGGAGAACCGGTCTTGTAGATGGAAATCTTTTCAATGCCTATCAAGGAAATTAATCCACTTTCTTTATGAACGGGATCCACACTGTTGGATACATTTGTACACTTCAAGGCGTACTAAACAGGAAGTGATATCAGGGCCACGTTTCCCTCCGCTTCACCCGACCCAACACTCCCCATTTCCTGACTTTTTTTTTTTTTTTGGTCACAAATAAACATGTAAAACATATTCTCACAACCCCCCCATGATCTATAATGCAGGCAAGCATTTGCATGCATGCAGCCCCGTGTGTTTGTGCAGGGATTTTACTCAGTGACCATATTAACCCCCGCCAAAGTCCTCCCTCTAATAACAGTCCTCGGAAACAATCCGAGCTGCTGAGGTGAGTAGCGCTCGCAATCATACGCAACCTGGCCCGGCCGCCATCAAGAGCTGATTAGGTTATTGAGCAAACCTGGGGGGGGGGGGGGGGGGGGGAGTCTGTAGAGTCAGAGGAGCTAGATAGGATTGAGATAAGGTTTGTGTGTGAGTCAGGGGGGGGCGGGTGGTCAATGTAAATGTTATTGCTGTGTGAGCTCATTTGATCAAAGTCCTGGAAAGGTTAAGTGAATCCAATCTGGTTTTGTATGGCAGAGTGGAGACACAGGCGCTGGGGAAGAAACCCCCAGGACGGAGAATGGATTATCATATTGGCGCTGGAGTAGCAGGGGCCTCCGACGGACAGTTTACTCTGGCCGTAATGCGTTTAGACAGCAATTGGCCTTAATAACCTTTATTGACTTCAGCGGGTCAGTGCCAAGAATCTAATTATCAAAGTGTATCAATTTCGTTGGAGTTTAGAGTTGCAGCGCTCAAAATAATTATTTTAAGGTCGGACCAGGGCAATTAATCCCCTCTCTCTTTATTTGATGGCTTTGTAAAACATTATAAATGTTATGGTTTCCCGTTGTGCTAAATAATTTTACTAAACGTCTGTTGTTTTTTTTTGCTGTGTGTGTTTTTGTGTGTGGAGAGTCCAGGTGTAGAGGAAAAGAGGCCCTTTTCTTAGGGGTTGTTCCTCCTTTTTTCCTCTTTTTATGGCCCGAATGACTCTAGATGTTTCCCAGCACTCGTTTTCTCTTTTGCTTCGCACACAGTTTTATTCCCGCTCTAAACGCACACATGCAACCCAGATAATTATAAGTGTGAACTAAGCAGTAAACTGTTAAGGGATCATTTTTATTGCTCATTATGAAGCCATTTATTATCTCCAACATTAAATCACACTGTTTCTTTGCGCCATATTGTTTTGCGTTTAAAGCCCAGGCTGAATAAATAGGCTTATATGTTTATTATATTTCTTTTCTTCGTGGTTCTCATGCCCTGACGGTGTGTGTGACTGAGCGTGCGGATGTTGATTTATTTGTAACGTCTGTTTGTGTGCGCACAATGTGAGTGGGGGAAGTAAATTGTGCAGCTGCATAGTGGTTTATCCTTCCATGACAGCCAGTAAGTGCTCTTACCTGGATAGTAGTAGTGTTTTTTCCCCCCCTTATCATGGAACATAGACTAGAGGCCCTAATCCACACGTTCATTACTGCAGGGCCTTATTTATCCACTCTTTATTAGCTTGCTTTCTTTGCCCTATTTAGACAGGGCTGAGTGAGAAAGAAATTACTCCAAGATTATTGTTATTCTTCATTTAAAGAGGAAATATATGGCTGATAATACATTTTACATCACGCTACAGCTCATGTTTGGAACCATGAAAAAAAGAAAATGAAAAGAAGCAGGAAGAGACACGGAGAGGCAGAGCAAGCAA